GCACTTTTCAGGGGAGACAGATCTTAGCGAGGAGGTGGAGGTTTGTTAGCATCTCCGGCAGTGAGATGTATGCACCCCGTGGACCCTGGACGAGGGGGGACAGGGACACGGCAGCCCCCCAGAGCCACTCCTGCCAAAAACTCAGAACCTCGATCCACGCCTGGGAAAGCGTCAGACAAGCTGAAGGGAAAAACATGCCCAAAAGTACCTGCCCAGGACTCGTGCAGAGGGTGCGGTCACGAAAGGCTAGGGAACAGCCCAGACGGGTGTGTGGGGGTGACCCCACACTCTCGCAAAGCGGGTCCTGCTGGGACCCGGTGGCGGGAACATGGGAGAGGGTCTGGGTCGGCAGACAGGTGAACCCCTGTCAGGTCAGGGTGGCTGTCCCGCTGTGGCCGACACGTGGTAGCTAGGTGGGAGCCAGGTGGAGGGTAAGGGGAGCTCTCTGGGCTAGTTTCACAGTTTTTCCGTGACTCTGAAATCATTTTAAAATATGAAGCTGAAAAAGGAGCCTCTGTGTGCTTGCCCGTCTGCGTGTGGACCCCCCCACTCCCCCTGGACTCCCCCCATGCAGCCCCCCCAGCTCCCCCCCGGCCCCCCATCCAGCCCTCCCAGCTCCCCCCCACCCCCCCGGGCCGCCCCCCCAGCTTTCCCCCCCGGCCCCCTATCCAGCCCCCCCAGCTCCCCCCCGGCCCCCCATCCAGCCCTCCCAGCTCCCCCCCACCCCCCCGGGCCGCCCCCCCAGCTCCCCCCCGGCCCCCCATCCAGCCCTCCCAGCTCCCCCCCACCCCCCCGGGCCGCCCCCCCAGCTCCCCCCCCGGCCCCCCATCCAGCCCTCCCAGCTCCCCCCCACCCCCCCGGGCCGCCCCCCCAGCTCCCCCCCCAGCCCCCCATCCAGCCCTTCCAGCTCCCCCCCACCCCTGCCCTCCACTCCCCGTCACCACCACCCCCCCATGCGTGCTGCTCTGACCTGCTTCTTTCAGCCTCAGACGCTTCCCACGCGATCCCACTGCGCCCGGGACAAAGGCGAGCATTTCAGCACGACGCCCGTTATCCTCTTTGTATTTTGGCTCTTTCAACCACAGCTGGAAGCACTTCCTCGGTGGGGTTGGACTAAAGTTGCTGCTAAATCTGAAAGCGCAAAAGAGGCTTCTGGAACCTTATCAAGCATTTAGTAGAATTTTATAATGTACTATGTTTAGTATCTTTTAAATGGTGGGGAAAAAAATGTCATTTGTTCCTGTGTTTGATGTGTCTCCGTTTTCACGCGTTCGATCCCTGTCTCTCACTGTGGTGATTTTAACTATTGTGATCAAATATTGCAAGACATGACCTACACCTGGGAGAGGGTTACCTTGGAGGTTGGGGAAGGTGAATCTGTCACCCAGCCCCTGCCGGTCGCCGTGGGTCCTGTGACCTCATCGGGCTGGAGCAAGTGTCCAGCTGGACCTGCGGAGGCCCCCACCAGCGGAGCTGGGGCAGGAGTGTCCCTTCTGTCCTTTCTGCTTCGTCACTGTGACCATCAATCTGCGATTCCGCATGCTGCACCGAGTCACTCAGTCGTGTCCAACTCTGCGACCCCAATGGACTGCATCACACCAGCTTCCTGTCCTCCACTGTCTCCCGGAGTCTGCTCAGATGCATGTCCATTGAGTTGATGACGCCATGCAACCATCACATTCCATCACTGGCTTCTCTTCCTGCCCTCAATCTTTCCCAGCATCAGAGTGTTTTCCAACGAATTGGCTCTTCATATCAGGTAGACAGAATATTGGAGCTTGCAATGATGTTAAATTGCAAAAATCAGATAATTTGCAAATCCAGATAATTTGCCCATGCAGGGTATTTATGATTCTGAATGAGCCGCCGGGGGCCACTATCACCCTCTGAGTGAGACCTCCCGGCCAGGCGCCCCCCCAGGACACCACAGTGACTGCTCCCCCAGAGGCCAACTCCGTGAGGGCCCCAGGGCCACCCTGAATATTTCAGTTAGAGGAAAATAAACATTGGCAGAAATATGGAATTCTTTCGCCTCGCTGTCCAAAGCTGTGCTGTCCAATAAAGTAGCTAGTTAAGTAAAACTGCACATTAATGGAAGGTAAGGTGGCTCAGCGGTAAAGAATCTGCCTGCCAATGCTGGTTATGTGGGTTTGATCGTGGGTCGGGAAGATTCCCTGGAGAAGGAAATGGCAACGCACTCCAGTGTTCTTGCCTGGGAAACCCCATGGACAGAGAAGCCTGGTGGGCTACAGTCCATGGGGTCGCAGAGAGCCGGACACGACTGAGCGACTAAACCACGGCAATCAATAAAAGGTAGTCGAGCATTTTCAGGAGCCACACTTCAAGGGCCCAGGGGACAAGGGCGACCAGGCTGCGCGGAGCGGGTGGAGACCACGGCCGGTTCTCCCGGGCGGGCTGCCCCCCGGGGTCACACTTCAGGGACGCACCAGTGATCCCCTGGGCCTGAGCCCTTCTGCCAGGCAGTGGGCACAGGCTGGGGGCCTCCCCGCCCCCTTCCCCACGTTGTTCCGTCCCCGCGGCTGCCAGGCCCTGTGCCCCCGCTGGAGTGTGGGAGCCTGAGCTCCTTCCCGACCCCCTGGGCGTCAGCGTGCACTTAGCAACATCTGAAAAGACCCAGGCCTCCTTGAGTCTCACTCCCCATAAATCAAGCAAAATAGGAGCTCAGGCTGCCACAACGGAGAGAGTGTATTTGTCCTGTGGTTTATTTTGGAGCAGGCTGCTTGTTAAGGGCGCAGAGGAATCCAGCTCTGACTGAAAACCCTGCAGAAGGTGTCACCGCGTCCACGTGCTGGAGGTGGCAGTCTCAGCGGGCACAGCTGCAGGCAGGGGCCTGAGGGGGGCAGGGACAGGGAGCCGAGGGGGAGGCCGGAGGCGGTGCCCACTGGGGGCTTGGCCAGGAGCTGGCCCCCCAGGCAGGTTTTAAGGGGCCTGAAAGGACTGAGCTGTCACACGCAGGCCTGAATTCACAGCATAAATTACCGTCTGCCTGGGCGAGGAGGCACACGCCACTTTCCAAAACTGGAAAAGCTCCATCAGTGGGGGCCGAGCCATCAGCCCACCTCCCAGCCCCCACAGCCAGCGGGAAGGGAAGGTCCTTTCCTGGAGGAACGTCCCGCGCCGAGGGCCCAGGAGAGGGGACTCCGGGTGCCCAGGCTCTGCTGGTCCAGCTGTGATGGGAGGGTGAGGAAAACCACAGCGAGGCGGACATGGTTCAGGAGCAACAGCCTCCCCACCCGCTTGTCACCAGGGGTGTGAAGCTGGAGTTCCGCTCATTTTCACTCGCCTCGAAAGGGAGAAAGGATGGCTGGCCGCTGGTGGGAACCGGAGGGCGCACAGCTCTCGTGTCTGTAACAGGAAACAACATCTGCTTTTACTCAGGGACCAAGCAATATTTTTCAAAGTCTGGCTGAGCACTTGGGTTTTCTTTTACTGGCAACCCCAGCTCTGCGTCTTATGACTCTGAAGCTAACACCATTCCCTTAACTTGTTCCTTCTGCCGACATGTGGGGAACAGACAGGCTTCTATTTCCCCCGGTCCTCCGACTATCCTCAGCACACGCTGGGGCTCCCCCCGACTCAGAGGAGGCACCTTCGTGCAGACCTGCCCGCTCTCCCCGACGGAGCCCCAGGCCTCCTGCGCCCCGTCCTGTGGTCACAGTCCCAGCGGCCGGGCTTTTCTCCAACAAGGGAAGAGGTGGGAACTAAGTTACTTCTTAAAAAAGAAGTCAGTTATTTTTAATTGAAGGATAATTGCTTTATAATATTGCTTTGGTTTCTGCCACACATCAACATGAATCAGCCACAGGTAATACAGAATCTAGAACGATGGTACTAAGCTACTTTTTAAAACAGGGGTCAACACACACACACAGTGTAATCTGTGGAGCACGCTCACCTCATGGGTGCGCTTGATGACTTTTCCTGTGCGTACACACCAGGTCAAGTTCCAAAACATTCTCAGCACGAGAAATTTTCCATCACACACCCTCCTGCTTCTGTTACAAATAGAGCTGCTGGGACCCATCTCACCCCCAGAGGCAGCCTGATTCTGACTTCTGCAGACACGGATTCTTCCCCTGACCCGGGACCTCACTGCAGGCAGTGAAGTCCTCAGAACAAGCTCCTATTAACCCAGACCATGAAGCAGCCACATCGGTTTGCTAATCTGTGGCTAGAAATGCCGCTTTCCCAGGGACTCATTCCTGTAGGCCAAGTCCCGCTCTCGCCAGTCACTTTCCTGAGATTCTGGTCCCCGGGGCGAGAGCTGGCTGAGCCCTGCTCACCTTCCTTGTTGTGAACGTCCAGGCGCACGACTCTTTAGAAATGCAATAAACCCGACGCCAACGTGAAGAGAAGGGGCAGCACCCAGTGCTCAGGAGGACGTGGGGCGGCTGGAACTCCACCGGGAAACGACCGTGGGAAAGCACTGCAGACTCCACGGAGCTCAGAAGTGCCTCCCCGAGTCCAGCAAACCTGCTTCTATCACACCCAACAGACAGGCGTGTGCCCGCCAAGGTCATGTGCTACAACAGTCACAGAAGGTTCACTCCTAACAGCCCAGGCTGGAGGTTACCCGGAGGCCCACCTTCAGGAGGGCGGATGCGTGTAACAAAGTGCTGTCCACCAGTGGGGTGGGCGCTGGCAGGGACGCCTCCGGGAAGGGGCCGAGCCCGGGCAGATTACAAGCGACGGGAGCGCGGGCCAGCTTAACTCAGAGTGAGCCTGATCGCGCGTCCCCTGGGGGCCTCGTGGCTAGGACTCTGGGCTTTCACTGCCGTGGCAGTGTTTCGATCTCAGAGTTCGAAATCTCTGCTTGAGAAACCGAGATTCCACAGGCACACAGCCGGAAAAAAAGAAAAAAAGCTCGGAATATTTCTTTTCATGCTCACTGGCCTTCTTCACCCCAAAGGAAGACCCAGAAAATGGACTTGCGTTCTGTACAAAGGAAGACGAGAACTTTGATTGACCCCTGCGGCCACTGAGAACCACTTTTCACAGGCGCACAAACCCTTCGCGGTCAACAGGATCACGGACGAGGGGAGCCCTCCTGGGGCTGCTTTTCCAAATCGATGACTGAATTTGAATCGGAACTTGTGCTGATGGCGCCCAGGCTGTGTGTCGGGCTGATGCCCGGAGGGGGCACGACAACCCCCGGTGTGCTCCGAGACGCTTGGTATTTCCAAGGACTGCACGACAAAGTTCCGGGGGACGACGAGCTCGTCGGAGGCCACGACTTCCCGGAGGCTTGCAGAGCTCCAAGCCTTCATGGAGCTGGGGCTTACTTCAACCGCTGAGCTGAGATGCAGGAACCAGGGGGCCATCTACACGGACGAGGCGGGGGTGGCTGTGCCCGGCGGGCTGAGCTCAGAGCCGCCACACAGACGGCCAGGCGTGCCCGCCCCCAGCTGGAAACGCTGCTCCTGTGAGGATGACTGAGATGCTGGCTTCAATCTCGGTATATTGGCATTCTTTTTTCAAACAGTCATCTGGTTGTGAGGATGCAACTCCTTAAGCCGTTTGGATGTCACCACCTAATAAATGAGTTGTCAGGTATTTCTCCAGGCCGCCGAGCACCATGCAGGGTCACCGCGGCCCTGACGGGTGCTCTGATCCCGGGTCCGGGAGTGGTAGGCGGCCCTGTCCCCAGGCTGACCGAGGAGGTGCATCAAGCCCTGCTGCTTTCTTTCTGAGATTCTCCCCCATCCTGCCCAAGCTGACCGGCTTGTCAAGCTTTAGCTCTCATCATCCCCACAGCAAACATGCACTTTAAAGTGTTATTGAAGGAAAACATCTTGTTAATAGCGGTCACTCCACAGTGACTGTTCTCAGTAACCCTCAGAATCCGACCGGGTGTCTGTCCCCCAGCTAGGAGCTGGCCTCCCTGGGCTGGTCAGTAAACGGAAAATCTCTTTTGCTGCAGACTGAGTATGTCTTTTTTTTGCAAAATTAGAGCCTTCTTAGAAGTCAGAGGCAGCAGAAGACAAAAGCTGAGGCGCAGGGTTATAAATGAAAAGCAAAGAAAAGCAGAAAGCCTGCCCCCTCAGTAAGGACTCAGTGGGCGAGTCCTCTAGGGAAAGCCGTCTGTGTGCAAACCTCTCACCGCAGCCCGAGGACGCTGCCGGACCAGCCCAAGACGCAGCTCACACACCCTCCTGCCAGGCGCTGGTGCCCAGCTGGACGGGAACGCCCCCTGCGCCCCCAGGCTCCTCTCTGCACACCCCCCCCCCACGGAAGCCCGATCCGGAGCCCAGACCCCCTGCCTTCCTTCCGGACGCCGTCACCGCTCGCCCCTGACCCATGACCCCTCTCCAGTGCTCGGTGCCCTGGCTTCCGCGTCCGCACCAGGAACTAGGGGTCTTAATCATTTCTACCGCGTGGTGTTTCTGTAAAATTAGATTAACAAGTGCACTTGAAGCAGTCATTGGCTTTTATTATTCTTAAGATAAATGTCTGATAAGGGGCTGCTGAGGTCAGTGATGAGACCAGCTTTTTTGGCTTTTGAAAACTTTCCAAGGGAAAAGTTTAAACCAAGTTGCCTTTTTTTTTTTTTTTGGAAAGGGCCTGTTCCCCTGAGTGTTGGATATTTTAATTTTTACAAACGTGCTGACTTGAACTACAGACACCGTCTCCTGCTGTACCCACCCCAGCCCCGGGGTCATCTGGTGGTCCACCATTCCTAAGGTTGAGAAGAATTCTGGAGCATTTCCCATAATAACTCCCACCCCCGTTTCTGAATTTGACGGTTTCGCTCACTCTAAGAGCGTGTCCTCTTCACAGCGGCAGGGCCGCCCTGGTCTCGGGAACCCCGGGGACGCGTCACCCCAGTTCCCACTTGGACGCCCCACCTCACCATGGCCAGCACACAGCCTCTCACGTGCCTTGGGAGCAGAGCTGCAGAATTCTAAAACCCATCTCCCTACCCACTTGAGCAAGATGTTCGCAGCTGCAAAGGCAGGACAGACCAAGCATCCCGAAAGGATGTTCTTTTTACAGACAGTCCTAAGAAGACACACGTGAAAAATAAAACTTCACTACAGGGGCAGACGTTAAAGAAACAATATTCATCACAAAAGAAAAAAGATCGTATTGCCAGTTTTAAACAAAGACAGGTTTATCTTATTAGAGGAGAGAAAGAGATCCAAATTAACTAAATATAAAAGGAGAAAGTGAGTTCAGTTCAGAGGAAGGAAAAGTACAATATAATGTACACAGGAATAGAGACAAACACTTTGGGGGCATCCCAGGTGCCTCAGTGGTAAAGAATCCTCCTGCAATATCGGGGATGCAGATTCGATCCCTGGGTTGGGAAGATCCCCTGGAAGAGAAAACAGCAACCCACTGCAGTATTCCTGCCTGGAGAATCCCATGGACAGAGGCGCCTGGCGGGCTACAGTCCATGTGGTTGCAAAGAGTCGGACACGACTGAGCAACTAAACCACCACATCACCACCATTACAAAAGAAAGAAAGAAAAGAGATGCTTTTTAATAAAGAGCTAAAAATTAAAGAATTGTGTGAAATAAATGAGGAAATGTTGGAACATAAAGTGAAAAGAGTAGACTTGCCTGGAGAATATTTTAGTCTTTGAAATCGAATAGTCCTATAGAATTAAACGGCCTTAACAAGCAGAGGGAGCACAGACAACCTACAGAGGCGAACCAGAAGCAGGAGGGTGTCCAAGGTGCAGAGCAGAGTCCTCCTCTGGCGTGGGTACCGGGGCACGGGTGGGGAGGTGCTCGTCTTTAATTTGGGGGAGAGTTTGGGGAGACCTGGTATGAACTCTTTTCTAAAGGTTTGGTAGAATTTGGGGCGAATCAGTCTGAAAAGTGAAGTGTTAGTCACTCAGTCGTGTCTGACTCTTTCCTCCCCTATAGGCTGCAGCCCGCCAGGCTCCTCTGCATGGAATTCTCCAGACCAGAACACCGGATTGGGTAGCCTTTCCCTTCTCCAGGGAACCTTCCCAACCCAGCGGTCAAACCCAGGTCTCCCGCATTGCAGGATTCTTTACCATCTGAACCACCAGGGAAGCCCAAGAATACTGGGGTGGGCAGCCTATCCCTTCTCCAGGGGGTCTTCCCAACCCAGAAATCGAACTGCAGTCTCCTGCACTGCGGGCGGATTCTTTACCAGCCAAGCCGCCAGGGAAGCCCCTGAGTCAGTCCGGGCTCGCCTTTTTCGGCAGCTGTTTGTTTTTTACGGATTCAACCTCTCCAGCTGTCCCGGGCCCTCGCCCTCCTCTGTGCCTCGCGTCCCCAAGCCCCCAGGCCACAGACGGGTCCTGGTCCTGGTAGGATCCAGGCCGCAGAGCAGGAGGGGCCTCTGCGGCTCCGTCGCTCCCCAGGGGGGCCGGTGCCGCCCGGACCGAGCCCTGCGGCGCGGGCTCACAGGCAGGGAGGCGCCGGCAGGAAAGGTAGCTCCCGGGGCGGGGCGTGGGTGTGGACGCCCTGCACGCCTGGTCCATGATGCCGAGTCCAGCGTCGGAGAGTGTCTCCCGCAGGGCTGACCTTGGGACGTGACCACATAGGAAACGTCCTCTGGTTTCCAGGGCACACGACCCTTAATTATCCCCCGGTCAGCACCCCAGGCCCACCCTGGGGCCTCCCGGGCGCTTGACCGCGTGACCGTGTGGACGCCAGCTGCCCTGAGACGGCTTACTCTGACGGGAAAAGGCTTAGTTTCAAAATTCAAAGCCATTGAATTCCAATGCCGTCAAAGTCAAATTTTTCATTAAAATTTCTATTGACCTTTTCCCATAAGAGTAACTCAATTGATTCTTTTTTTTTTTTTAGGTTTCCGCCTGAGATTTATTTATTTATTTATTTTTAACTTTTTCATTTATTTTTATTAGTTGAAGGCTAATTACTTTACAATATTGTAGTGGTTTTTGCCATAAATTGACATGAATCAGCCATGGATTCACATGTGTTTCCCATCCCGATCCCCCCTCCCGCCTCCCTCCCCATTCCATCCCTCTGGATTTCATTTGAATCAGTTCTAATGAGATGGATGAAACTGGAGCCCATTATACAGAGCGAAGTAAGCCAGAAAGATAAAGACCAATACAGTATACTAACACATATACGGAATTTAAAAAGATGGTAAGGATAACCCTATATGCAAAACAGAAAAAGAGACACAGATGTACAGAACAGACTTTTGGAGTCTGTGGGAGAAGGCGAGGGTGGGATGTTCTGAGAGAACAGTATTGAAACAAGTATACTATCAAGGGTGAAACAGATCGCCAGCCCAGGTTGGATGCATGAGACAAGTGTTCAGGGCTGGTGCACTGGGAAGACTCATTGATTCTTAACCTATTTTGAAAGCCTGGGGCAAGGGCTATTCAATCCCAGATCTGAGGCCCCAGCAGCTCTCAGACCCCCTGAGAGCGTCTCTCCCTCCCCGTGGAGTAGGAGCAACGTGTCCTCCAGACACGACAGGACCCGGGCTTCTCTGAGGGTCGGGAAGGCACTCTTCCCCATCACCGAGGGGATGACCTACACGGCTCAAATCACCCCTACCCCACCATCCCTCTAGGTTCTGCAGACTCACCTGGTAACTGACAAACTTACAGAAGGTCCAGAAAAGGACTTAACAATATAATTACTGTTTATTTCTCATTATAAAAGTAACATACCTATTAGTAATACTTTATAAGCAACTAAAACTAGAAAAGGACAAAGTCGACTTTTTTAATACAAATAGTATAGATGCTGTGTTTTTAAAATTTGAGAAGGAAAGAAACAGCAAACACACTTTTAAAATACTCATGACATTCCTGAGAGAGACAGCAGCACATACGTGAGCATGGCCGCTGAGGACACTCCGCTCTGCCGGCTTGAGGCCTAGAAGGGCTCGGGCATTTTCTGTGAGCTCTCCGACCCCGCGCACATCTGCACAGCAGCCTGAAATGCAGCGACTTTTGGGTAAACCACCCACCTCTGCGTTATCTCAGAGACACAGCGCTCTAAAGCCCGAAGACGCCTGGAGCTCACTGCTGGACAGAACGGATTTTAAGAGCTGTTTATTCACAGCTGTGTCTGCTCACAGAAATAAACCACTGTCCACTGGACCTATGATACTGGGCTTTTCTTTATAGGCGAATTAGTAACACAAGCGAATTTCGGTAGACAGTAAAAAGGAAGGTGTAGTTTTTTCAAGATGCAAAGTTTGATACCTAGCGATCAGACCTGTTTCACTAACGGTACTCTTTGGGACAGGCACTTTCTAACTCGGTTTCTCTCTGTTGAATCACACGTGGTTAGAAGGTAAGTCTGACTCCGCTTATTTCCATTTCTCAATCACCCAAATCCGGACATTAGCACTGATGTAGTACCGCCCTCTGACTCACGGACTCCGTTCAGATTTCCCAAGCTGCCCACGTCCTCCGGAGACGGAGGGTCCACCTGGATGCACAGTGCATCTGCAGTCTCATTCAGCCCAGCCCAGGTCCTCAGCCCCCACTCACCTCTAACTACCTTGACAGTTGCAGAAAGCACAGCCCAGTTACCTTATTCAGTGTCGCTCAATTTGTCTGATATTTCCTCACGATTATACTCACATTATGCACTTCGACAAGAGCACCACAGAAGCAGCACTACATTCCTCGCAGCGGGCTAAATCAGGAGGTGTGCAGCGTCAGTTTGTCTCATTGCTAATGAGGTGGGCTTTCATCCCCCGGTCAAGTGGTGTCTGCCAGGCTTGTCCATGTGACAGTCACTGTGGGCGAGGAGATGCTCTGAAATGGTATCTGTCCTGATTCTCATCAGTGACGACCCTTGCCTTCAAGCACTACAGGGAGGGCCATGGGCTGCATCTCTGATTCCATCCCTCACTCTAATTGTACTGGCTGACGTTTCCTTACTGACGCATGGACTGATTTATGTCAGAAGGGATCCATGGATTCTTACTGTTCAGCGGGTCATAACCTCTTGCGATCTTTGTTTATTTGATGCTCAGATTTGGCCCATAGACGCTCCATTGCCTCGGCTCCTGTGTTGGTCTTGACGTGTTCCCAGCATCTCTGACATTGTCTTACTTTCTGGCACAAGACGTCCCGGGCTCAGCTGCATTTTCCCTGTGCGGACGGGAGCCAGCCGTGTCTCTGCAGGCCCAGGCCCCTTTCAGTGGAGGACGGCATTAAACCAAGATCTGAGCCGTGTGTGCCCACTGGCGCTGGACTGCCCTTGCCCCTAAGCCCTTCAGTGGACAGAACCAGGAAGTGTGCGTCCACACATCAGTATCAGCTTCCCTATCTAGAGGTGTTAAAAGCCATGGGTCCCTGCTGACATAACTAATTCTAATCCCGACAACAGAGATCACTGAAGCTCCCCCATTTCCATATTTATAATCTTTTAAGTATTTGGAACATGGTTCTCATTATCTGCAGTGCATTTGCTTATCTACTCAGTTGCCTCTAAGACAGACCTTCTGGCCTTCCCAACCATTCAGGCCATCTATCTGGCATTAATACTGCTGGCTCAACCACGCAGATGTCCTCCCCAGCCCAGCCCAGCCAAACTTGCTGGTAACGCCACTGAATCCCCAGCCCCCAGCCCCGCTGAATACTCGGCCCCCAGCCCCGCTGAGCTGACACCTGTCCTACTTCAGCCGATACTGTTCCCGTTACAAAGCACCATGCTTCACTTGTGTAATCCTCTTTATTCTGAATTCACCACTGTCTGAAGTTAAGACATGCATTTTCAAACCACTTTTTCTCTTGCAATACTGTATGATTTACAGAAAAAGTTACAAATACCGGCAATCCCATGTACCCCGTGCCCACTTTCTCCCACACTCCCACCTTACATAACTGCGGTACACTTTGTCACAAGGAAGTTGCCGTCGGTACGTTACTGTTGACTAAGCTCCAGGTTTCATTTGGACCTCACTGGTTTTCCTGTGAATGTCCTTTTTCGGGGTCAGGGTCCAGTCAGGCCCCTACCCTGCACCTGGTCCCCGTAGCCCCCGGGTGTTCCCGGGTGTGTGGCAGGGCTGTGGTCTTCCTGTCTGCAGATGACACCCCCTTACCACCCACCCCCGCAGAGGAGGTGTCTTCAGGGAAGTACCTGGGATATTTCTGTGAGCCTGTTAAAACAGAATTCCAGCAAAGGATTTAGCCAACTGGGCTTTAGCAGACTAAAATCCTAAACAGGATTCCAGCTAACTAGGATTTCATTAACTATGGATCCGGGGACCCTGAGTGCTGGAAATGCAAGGACTAAGCAGCGGTGCGGGGCCATCCGGAGGTCAGTGAAAGGCCAGATCCTCACTCCCAGCGGCTCCTCACTGGTCTGGAAATCCTTCGCGTTTAAATGAGCTCTTTGGATGGAAAAACCTGAAAGTAAGACCACAAGGAAAAGATATTGAGAATGATGTGTTTTTTCACAGGGGAGAAAGGGGGTGCTGGGAGGCGCAGAGGGGGAGCCCTGGTGGGAGACGTGGGTGGAGGCCCCCACGGTGGCCGGGAGCCTGGAGACCCCTGCCTGGGCGGCTGGGGGGGCCGGGAGAGAGTGAGGAGGCGGGAGCCCCGGGCGGGTCAGTGTCCCAGATCGGCCTGGGAGCAGGGACCACCCAGCCCCAGCGCAGCGTCGTCCGAGGAGGAGAGTCTGGGACGGCCACCCACGCGGACGCGCAGCAGCGGCCCGAGCTGACAAGCTCTAGCTCACGCAGCGCACGCGTCCCTGCCCGGGGTTCTCGCTGGTTCTCACCGGAGCCCCGTTAGACGAGCCGCAGCAGGTGACTTATCCATGTCTCATGAGAAGCCGGGGCAGCAGTGGAGACCGGGCCCCACCCGGGGTGGTGGCCACCGCGCTGCGATGCTCGGCGGAGGGGGGCCTGCCCGGAAGCCCCACCTGAGGGTCGGCGGGGGGACTCACACACAGCCCGGCCCGTTATGCTGTGGCTGAGACGGCGTTTCTGGGGGCCCGACCCCGGGCTCAGAGGACCCGCTCCCACCCAAGGGCTGGGGCCCCGCGGCTCACCTGCGGAGCGCCTGTTGGTTGACCGAAAACTGCACTGGCTGCACGGAAGAAGGACCGGCGAGGCGGGAGGAGGAGGCATTCCCAGGGGTGTGCTGTTCCCCTGGAGTCTGCAAGGGAGGGGGCGGGGCGGGGGGCACTGAGGGGTCTGCGTGCGCGGGGCTCTATGCCTAGCGCCTTTGGGGCCAGACCGCTCACTCATAAAACCTGCCAACCACCAACCTATGTCTGAAAGACCAGGAAGCTTATTTAGGGATGAATCCTGTTAGAAAGGCACTTGGATTGACGAGCGAAATTTTTCTATTTTGATACAAATTTGAAACCATAAATTATTGCAGCACAAGATTCCAAAGTGCCTTTTCCCTGGAGCGTCAGGGTGATGGGCTCAAGCAGACCTCTCAGTTCAAGCACGTTTTAAAATGATGAAGGGGGTTTCATCAACCCTGTCCAGAACTTGGAAAGATACTTCATCACACACACATTACTCCTTAAACTAAGTGAAAACCTAGGTTACCAACACGATGTATAATACCTTCCTAACTGGCTCAGTGGTAAAGAATCCGCCTGCCAATGCAGAAGACTCAGGAGACGTGGGTTCATACTGCTGGGTCAAAAAGATCCCCTGGAGGAGGAAATGGTAACCGGCTCCAATATTCTTGCCTGGAGAATTCCACGGACAGAGCCTGGACGGCTGCAGTCCATGGGATGGCAAAAAGCCAGATGCGACCGAGCACGCACGCACAGAACATATAATTGCAGGGGCTGTGAATTAATTTTGAATAATGAAGCAAGTATGCGAAACAAAGAAATCAAGCTTCAAAGAGGCAAAGCAAATTTTTTTAAAAAAGAAAAAAATTTAAATTTTGAAATGAAAACTAGCTAAATAAATAAAGCAAGCTTGAAATCAAACTTGTAAAGTGTAGTAGTGCACTACTCACTGAACTAGCAAAAGAGAATAAAACTAGCCTTTCCATTTGTTTAAGCTTTTCTTTTTAAAGTAGAGGTGGGAGTTTAAAACCTGTGTGTCAGTGAAGCAATCCTGCAGGCGATCATGAGGTTTTCAGAAGAGCTCGTGGGGAGCAGAGCCAACGACAAGCAGAGATGCTTCAGCCCTGAGGTCTGGGGAACAGAAAAGACCCTCACCTCCAGGCCTCTCAGGGACCCCCTCCCAGCCCCGCCCCAGCCGGCACCTCCGTGATGTGACCTGAGCAGGGAGCTGCTGCCCGTTCATACTTCTCTTAGGATATCCGCCCCACCAGCTGCCAGGACGCTCCATCCTCACAAAGAAGCTCAGAAGTTCTTGGCCCTGGGAGACAACCTCAGAAAGACAGCGACTCTTATCGCTGACCACAGTGTGAGCAAGATCAGTTCAGTTCAGTCGCTCAGTCGTGTCTGACTCTTTGCGACCCCATGGACTGCAGCACGCCAGGCCTCCCTGTCCATCACCAATTCCCTTATGACTAACCTGGATAGCATCTTTAAAAGCAGAGACATTACTTTGCCAACAAATTTCCATCTGGTCAAGGCTATGGTTTTTCCAGTGGTCATGTATGGATGTGAGAGTTGGACCATAAAGAAAGCTGAGCGCCGAAGAATTGATGCTTTTGAACTGTGGTGTTGGAGAAGACTCTTGAGAGTCCCTTGGACTGCAAGGAGATCCAACCAGTCCATCCTAAAGGAGATCAGTCCTGGGTGTTCATTGGAAGGACTGATGCTGAAGCTGAAACTCCAGTGCTTTGGCCACCACATGTGAATTGACTCATTGGATAAGACCCTGATGCTAAGAAAGATTGAAGGCAGGAGGAGAAGGGGACGACAGAGGAGGAGAT